AGAAGAGGATAGCCGTCACCATCTCCCAATCTACCCCCAAGGGGTGAAAAGTGTGTTTCTGCTTCCTCCCAGCCAAAGATACAAACCCTAGGACGTGCAAGTCCTTAAATAGGGCATAAAAATAACATAAAACAAGTCCAAGCCCATAAAAACAAAAGAAAACCGGTCCAAGCCCACTTAGACTGGCGCTCAACGGTATTTTACCGCTGAGCGGTAATACCGCATGATCCATTTTGCCCCCAACTGCTGTTTTTGCCCCCTCAGCGGTGATTTTGGCACCTGAAAAGTGCCGCTCAGCGGTATTTTACCGCTCAGCGCCACTCGGTCACACTTTTTCTGCGTTATGGTTGGTTTTTCAGCATTCTGGTTGACTGGTTGACTTTTCTAGTTTCTGGTTGACTTTTCAGCACTCCAATCATTCGGTACTTCAATTCTTCTTTCAAATTATTCAATTAGCCTACAAAATCAAGTGAATCTTGCACAAAACCATTAAATTCACTTTTAACTCTCTTATTTACAAAACTAAAGCAAAAATATGAGTTCAAGCTAGTTTTTAAGTCTTAAAGGTTTCTTTTGGTATCAATTTTAAGCATAAAAATAACGGTTTTTCAACCGTTATCATGGGTATAAATAACCCACAGATGACGAAGCACAAACAGTTGCCCAACTTGCAGCATTGAAAAAATGCGTGTGAAGGATAAATTAGCTCTATACATATTGTACCGAGCTGTGGATGAATCTGGCTTTGAGAAAATAGCAAATGCAAAATCTTTAAAAGAAGCATGGCAGATTTGGAGAAAGTATACAAAGGAGACAACCGAGTCAAGCAAGTCAGGCTTCAAACTCTCAGAGGCGAGTTTGAAAGTTTGAGAATGGAGGAAAAAGAAAGAGTAACCGAGTATATATCTCAGGTGGAAGCAGTGGCAAATCAAATCAGCAAAAATGGGAAGGAATTGCCAGCTAGCAGGGTGGTAGAGAAAATTTTGAGATCACTAACAGATGATTTCGAAAGCATAATTCGCGCTATCAAGGAATTGAAGGACCTCTCAACACTCTCAGTTGAAGAGCTTACTGGTCACTTGAGGCCCATGAACAAAGGAGAAGAAAAATGAAAGAACCTTTTGACCAAGCACTATAAGTGAAGCTTGACTTAAAAGGAACTCGGAACACTCAGGGCGAAGGTCCTAGAGGAAGAGAAAGAGGTGACTGAGGACGCGGTGAACGTGGCAGAGGCGGACGTGGCAGAGGTGAATTTGAAGTCGACACAGAACAGACCAGACAACAGAATTTATGTGGTCGTGGTCAAGGAAGAGGTCAAGGAGGTCGATCTAAGTCAGCAATTGAATGCTTCAAGTGTGGAAAAATTGGCCACTATACAAACGAGAATAGATCAGGGAGTTGCTATAATTGTGGGAAGCCAGGCCATATAGTGAAATATTGTCAGGCTGAAAAGAAAAAGGAAACAAATTTGCTTTCTGAGGAAACCAATGAAGAAATTGACATCTTATTGATGTCAAAATGTCCAGAAACTGAGCTTGTGCCAAACTGTTCAAACAATTCGTTTTGGTACTTAGACACGGGGGCAAGTAACCACATGTGCGGAGATGAGAGTTTGTTCAATGAACTCATCAAGGTTGAAGTCGTACATGTCTCATTTGGAGATTATTCCAAGGTGGCTGTATAAGGGCACGGAACAATCCAACACATGCAGAAGGATGGATGGATTGGAGAAATAAGGGATGTCTACTATGTTCCTGAGCTGAAAAGTAATATTTTGAGCATGGGTCAAATGATGGAGAAAGGTAACTCAATTCTGATAAAAGATCGAGTACTATATTTGAAAGATAAAAGCGGTCGTCTGATTGCACGAGTAGAAATGAAGAAAAACCAGATGTATAAGTTGGAGCTGAATATTTTGAAAAACAAGTGTCTGAAGCTTGACGTGAAGGACGAAGCTATGGTATGGCATTTTCGGTTTGGCCACTTGAACTTTGGAGGTCTGACCAAACTATCAGAGAAGCAATTAGTACGTGGACTACCTAGTGTAGAATTTGAAAAGAAGTTTTGTGAAGAGTGTGTACTCGAAAAACATTCGAGGACTAGGTTTCCGAAGTCAGTTAGTTCAGGGCAGAAGAACAACTCGGTCTAATACACACCGATCTGTGTGGTCTAATGTCTCCTAATTCATTAAGTGGTAAGAAATACTTTATTTTGTTTATAAATGATTTCTCTCGAAAGACTTGGGTATATTTCTTAGAGGATAAATCATAAGCATTTGATGCATTTAAGAAGTTCAAACTAATAGTGGAGAAGGAGACCAACAAACAGATAAAAGTTGTCCGATCAAACAGGGGACGTGAATTCACTTCGACAAAGTTTAATGAATACTGTGAACAACATGGGATAAAATGATTTCTTACAACTCCATACTCCCCACAACATAATGGTGTTGCTGAAAGGAAGAATCGAACCATTCTTGATATGGTTCATCCCATGCTTAAAGGGAAGAATATGCCAAAGAAGTTTTGGGCAGAAGTGTCCACATACTAAACTAGAAGCATGGATTGGGAGGAAGCCGAGTGTCAGCCATTTTAAGGTTTTCAGCAGCATGGCTTACGATCATGTTCCTACTCAGCACAAAACAAAACTTGAAGACAGAAGTAAGAGATATGTTTTTATTGGGTACGATGAAAAAGTAAAAGCATACAAACTTTATAACCCAATTACAAAAAAGGTTGTTGTAAGCCGTGATGTCCAAGTCGATGAGGAAAGTGAATGGAGCTAGGACAACATAAAGGAGAAGTCCTCATGGAGCTCAGAGTCTGGAGGAGAGAACTCAACAATATCTGAGAAGAGTTCGGAAGCTGCTGAAAGGAACCTCGAAACCATAGCTAAGAAAATCAACAATTATTCTGATGAAGAAGATGAACCTGTGCAACCTAGATCTCTTAGTTTATAAGACATTTATAACTCCATTGATGAGGTACATGTAATATGTTTGTCGGTAGGAACAAAAGATGTAAAATTTGAAGAGGCTATGATCAATCGAAGATGGAAGAAAGCAATGGACGAAGAAATTGGCTCAATTTAAAAGAATTAAACCTGGGAGCTGACAGATCTACCTATAGGAGCTCAACCAATTGGCTTGAAATGGGTATACAAGAAGAAAATCAATGCAGATGGGGATGTGGAACGTTACAAAGCTCGTCTTGTGGTGAAGGAATTAACTATGATGAAGTGTTTGCTCTAGTAACAAGAATGGAGACAATTCAACTGCTATATTCTTTAGCAACACGGATGGAAGATACAACAGATGGATGTGAAATTTTCATTTCGGAATGGAATTTTAAAAGAAGAGATCTATGTAGAGCAACCTCTCGGTTACATGACAAGAGGTGAAGAGAAAAAGGTGTGGAAGCTGAAGAAAGCATTGTATGGCTTGGAACAGGCTCCTCGAGCCAGGAATGAGATAATTGACACCTACTTAAAGAAGAATGGTTATGAGCAGTGTTTGTATAAGCATGCTCTGTACCTAAAGAAGAAAAAATGAGATATGTTATTTGTTGCCCTATACGTAGATGATTTAATCTTCATGGGAAGTAGGAATGAGTTGGTCGTAGAGTTTAAGAAGGTGATGAAAAAGGAATTTGAGAAGACTGATCTAGGTGTTATGAAGTACTTTCTTGGTTTGGAGGTGGACCAAAGCACAAAAGGAATTTTTGTATCTCAAAAGAAGTATGCTGAGGAGATATTGAAGAAAGCGAAGATGATGAAGTGCAATTCGGTTTCTACTCCTATGGAACCTAGAACAAATTTATCCAAACACGGAGATGTAGATCGAGTCGATGCAAGGAGGTATTGCAGCTTAATCAGAAGTATGAGATACTTGACAAATACAAGACCAGACTTGATGCTAAGTGTGGGAATCACAAGCCGGTTTATGGAGGAGTCAAGGTATTCTCATTGGAAAGCACTAAAGCGGATACTGAGGTATGTAAAGGGAACCATGTCTTTTGGATTATTGTACACCAAGTCAGATCCTTATCGGCTTAGTGGATATTCAGACAGAGTGATTGGTTTGGAGATATAAATGATAGAAAGAGCACGACTGACTATGTTTTCTTCATGGGAGATACAACATTTACTTGGCTATCAAAGAAGCAACCCATTGTGACGTTATCCACATGTGAGGCTGAGTATGTGGCAACATTGTGGAGTGTCCGACATGCAATATGACTGAGAAACCTATTGAAAAATTTGGAGATAATACAAGAAGAGAAGGTGTTGATCCGAGTAGATAATAGATCGACAATTGAGTTAGTAAAGAACCCGATAAACCATGAGGGAAGCAAACATATTGATGTTCGTTTTCACTTCATCAGCGAAAAATTGAAAGAAGGAAGCATGTAGAGAGCAAGAAGCAAATTCAAGATATATTCACGAAACCATTACCGACGAAGTTATTTCAAGAGTTAAGGAAGATGATCAGCATGAATGAAGGATAAAAAGTCCATTAGGTTATGGATGAGATTTGTAAAATAAACCGAATGGACAGTCAGCTCCAATCACTTTACCATAATGGGTCTTGCACTACCGTAAAATATGTCTGTGTGCCTACTCTACTACCAGCTTTGATTGAATCCTCGTGTCCACCATTTTCGGCCTACCCCACTACCACAAATGTTTTGGTTTATTAGTCTTTGCTCTATTATAAATAGAAGCACGTGTTTGTGAATAAGCACCAAGAAGTGAATGTAATACACAAGTGTAGTGTGCATATACAGTGAAAGCAAGAAGGAGAGAGAAGGGGCCGTTTGGTTTTAGTTTGTGAGTGAACTTTTATTGAGAGAATTTTAGTTTGAGTGACAATACCGTGTCTTTCTTGTATTTCTGAAAGTGTTTATTTTCAATAAAAGTATATTTGATACCAATAGCTTATACTAGCAAAATCAATAAACCAAACAAAAATTCCACTTTTAATTTTTATTTTAATTTAAGTTTATTTAACATAAAATACATTGAACAAAATGGGTGTAGTTTTACCACATAATGCTCCATTCATAGCTATCCTCTTTGACTTTTTTCACCTCTGCATACTTCAGTGAAGGAAACAACTTTCTCAAATGGTCAATATCAATTTTAAGATTCTTTAGGTATTTCAGACGCAAGATCTCCACCTTACAATTTATTGTACTGTCTTTTAGCTCTTCTATGCTCCTGAGTTTTCCTCCTATTATGTATAGTCTCTTCAATTCAGAAGGTAGGAGTTTCAACCATGTTGGAGTGTTCTCACCAGGAAAGCCTTCAAGGTTTAACTTTTCCAAACCTTGTGGGAGAACGATATCAATATCTTTGTACTTGGTGTTGGATGACACGCCCCATGATATTTTGAGACATTTAACTTGTGATTTTCTCAGGTTTTCAAACTCTTTATCTTGGATCACAGCCTCACTTCCAATGTGTATGCTCAATCGTTTCAACTTTTTAAAGTTTGCAAGATCCGATATTGTAGGAGTCTTGTTGGAACTGCCTACTACAAATCCCTTGAGTACTTGGAGCTCAGTGAGCTTCCCAATCCCCTTTGGCATACTCTCCAACAAGTAGCACTGTGACACATCCAAGTGTGTGAGCTTTTTCAATGAAGTAATTTCATTAGGTAAGGTTTCGAGATTGTGACAAGCCTTGAGGTCAAGAATTTCTAGGCTAACAAGTTGAGCAATAGAGGGTGGCAAAGCTGATATTCTTGATATACCACGAAGGCTGAGATATTTCAGATGCTTTTGAGCCTTTGTGTCTGTCATGAATTCTGTACCGGCAACTTCAATGTGATATTTTGGAGACTCTTGCCAACGACCAAGCTGAAGCACCACCAACTTCTTCATTTTAGCCATCCATTGAGGTTCAATAGTAAGATGTTTGGCACTAAGATTGAAAACACTTCTCCATTGATCAGATTTCGGAGCAAAGTCACCACCTATTTCAACTTTTTGTTGGTCAAGTACTAGGCAACCATAGGAAGAGGTTGTTATTTGTGGATAAAATCCAAAGGGTTGTTTATTTTCTCCCAGAACAGATGATACCAACATGTGGCGGATCCAAGGATTAATTTTGAATTTATTGACAACAGGACACTTGGCTTAACCTTGTGGTACAATCAGATTAGAATTCAGAAGCTCGTCGAAAACATTCTCACCTTCTTTTTCAGCTGTTTTCTCTGTTGACCTTTTTACAAACCCCTCTCCAATCCACCAGTAAATTATATGTCTTTTCATTATAACAACATTTTCTGGGAAAATCGAGAGAGACAAACAGCAAACTTTTGAATGAGAATTAAGGGCATCATAACTGGCTTGGCACCTTTTCAAGACTAGCTTCAAAGTCTCATCGTCTCTACTTAAAGGCAGTGTGGGGTAATGCACTGTTTTGGGTGTTTTTCCTTTTTCTTTAGCTTCTGTTTCAATTTCACTAACACCAAGCTTTTTAGTTGATTTCTTGATCTTTTTATTAATGGCCTCCACTACTTTTTCTACCACCTCCTCCTTGGAATCTTTACGCTTGACATTCTCATCTGAGACTTTTTTGTTGGTGTGTTTTAGAAGATTTTCCTTATTTTTTTTCAATGTTACTAAATCTGCCTTCTCGTTGTCTCTCTCAGACTTCAAACTCTCCACCTTTTCATCATCTGATACGTCTTTTTCCACACTCTCCTTGTCTTGCACCTCTTGGGTTGAAGATGGCATATCAACACCTACAAGCACAGATTAACAGATATCAAATGAGAAGAGATTTTATGTATGCTCAAATTACGGACTGAAACAACAATTATAATTGAAAAATGTAAGTTTTTCAAGATATTGTAATATGTCATGTCTTGATTGTAGTCATATTTTTCTCTAGTTTTTCATCATGTCAAACGATGAAAGTTTTGCAGTTACATTTCTGGGCAACGTTTCACTGTATCAAGGATTAAGATAAAACTGCAATGATCACAACCATAATATTAAAAGTATAATGCAAATTCTAGAAGAATATAGAAAGTCTTAATATAGAAGTACTAAAATGTAATAAAGTTCTAGAATATTGTAGAAAAGCCTAAGATAGGAAAAAAAAATCAAGAATATTTTACATAGGTAAAATCTACACTAGTACAATCAGGGGAAACGACAGCGGTTATTTTTGTCTATAGGCAGCGGGTTCTGAACCGAGGCATATTCAGGCGAGGTAAAAAGTCCAATACTTTTGGTCTCGGTTGTGAACCGAGGCATATACTCCCACTCTACGGCCTCGGTTCATCCCCAACCGAAGCATTAAGTTTTAGGTTTTTTTAATTTATTTTTTTCGTAGGAGATACTGCCTCGGGTCCCTTCAACCGAGGCATAAAGTTGCACTCTACTGCCTCGGTTCTGGCTACAACCGAGGCAGTAGAGTCTTTTTTTTTTTTTTTTTGTTCTCTTCCGCGACACATTCTGCTTCGGGTTTGACCATAACTCAGGCAGTAAGTGGGTTTTTGACTTCGGTTCTTACCAGAACCGAGGCATATAAGTGCGTTTTTTGTAACACCCCGAGTTTTTGGCGCTACATCGACTAAA